TGAGTGTTTCAATCATTTCGGAAACTCTCCCAGAAGTTTCTCAACATCCTTCTCTGAGGCATCAGGCTGGGCTTCTTCTGCCTCGTCTTCTTCAGGCTTGAAGTTCGCGACCAACTCGGCGAACTCGTCTTTGTCTTCTATTCCTCCATTTTGTCCATCAACAAGTGATGTTACCGTGTCCCTTGTCCTGAAAAGCCTTGACAGCTTTTGCTCGCCGTGATGTTGCCACCATTGCCGACTTTTGTCTTTGGCAGAGACAAGAGAATATGCATTGTCTGAGCTTGGCGCGAAGGAGCAATAGACAGAGCTGAACAACTCATCTGCAGTCAGGTCATGACCTTGTCGCACGCTGTTGGCCTCGAGGGCTGCTTTGAAGTCATTGTTACTGGGCGTCGGCAGTACCTTCCTCCTATCCTGTTGTGGTTGGGTACTTGTGGTAGAATATGAGAGCCATGAACTCGTAGCCAATCTCGCAAACTTGTAGTCGTGCTTGTTCTGGGGCAGATTCTCTGTCCGGCTAGAGTTTGGAATGAATTCCAGATTGTTGCCTCTCGCCACGTCCCTTGCCGTGTGCGGCAGATCTAGAGGCTTGACTCGGCCGATCGGACGAAAGACTGTCCCGAACGACCTCTTTTCTTGCTTCTTCGTTGCATCTTGATCTCCACCCAATGACGAGAAGTCTGTAAGTTCGAATCCGTTAGGTAGCCTTGAGCCTTCAGTCTCGGGTATAACAGCTGTACAGTCGTTTCCGGGTTGTTGGGGAACCTGGAGGCCCGAGAAGAGAATCTGGACACCACCGTTGACTTGGCTGCGCAGAGAGAGGAACTGTTTGGAATTTGAACTGATCAAGTCCGCCCCCGGGAAGTCTTCACTTTTGATTTTGGCGACTTCTGAAGACTCAGTTTCATACTTGTCGAGCACATTTATTAGCGTTGATAATTGCCCTTGGACATCGGTTTCGACGTTGCCATTCTGTGTTGTAGCGGATATATCGGTGACCAGGGCATCTTGAACATTTCGGATATCTTCTTTCAGGGCGCGGAAAGAGTCATATGAGCCCGTCAAAATGCGATCCTCGATAGTATCGTTGGCGGATTCTGACTTGACAAGGCGGGCCCGTTTGATGTCAGGTGCTCCGGACTTCGATGAAGATAAAGGGTACTTGAGAAGCGACGGAGTGGTGTCATGTCTATACCGCGTATTAGTAGTCTGTCACATACGTGGAACAGCTAAACGTACTTGCGAAGAACTCGCAGGACATCTTGTAAGGTCGATTGTAGAGCAGTGTCTTTTGGCGCAACTTCGGGGGAAACCGTGCGCTTCCGCTTACCCAGGTGCGATGCGGAAACCGTACTAGTATCTTCGTGCTTTGCGATGCCGTTGACTTCGGCCATACTGGGAAAACGTCGTGATGAATTTGAGGAGCCCCGTTGTGATGGTGTTGGCGGGCGACGAGCCGGAGTGGACTAACCCAACCACATGCAATTTTGATGTATATCGCGATATTAGTCTCTTAACATGGTTCAGACCCTTGATGTGAACAAACGACGCGCGACTTTTTGTTTTGTAACAGGTTGGCTGGTGTAATAGTCTCGACACTGGCAGAAGAAAAGGGAGCGATGAGGGGGTTGTCCACACGCGCTGCGGACTTGCAGGATGACTGGTACAGGAACGCAACGAGAGGAATGGTAAACCGAGTTCGGCCGGATGCAATAGAGTAAGCCACCAGGAGCTGCTTGGCTGTGGATCGCGAGATGAATCTACCTGACTGTGTTTTTTTTTCGCTGCGGACGCTCCGAATCTGAAGTCGATGCAGTTTGACTGCGATCGACTGACAGCCGCAGTTGGCCGTTGGCTTGGCGCGCCTGCGTGCCTTCGCTTTGATCTTCGCTGTACCGAGTACAGCTCGCCTTTCAACTCTTGATCGAATTTGAATAGGAACGATGCTCGCTTCGGCATCTTAATCCACGTCTATCACGCTCAGCTCTTCTCTTCCTGAGGTTCTCAATTGCTTCTCCGCTGAAGCATCAATGGATGCTCAGCGTCCACCGTGTTCGTCTTCCGACCGGAAGGCCTCTTGCCTTCTCTTTCCTGCACCTACAGTTTCGCACCAGAGCTGCTCGATATCATTTCCAAACCCGACATTACGGAAGTCGGGCCGCAGGCACAAAGTCTGATACTCCAACGCCGGTTGTATCGGATTTTCTAGCTCACCAACAAGCGCTGTTCCCTACCGAATTCTCTGAGTTTTCCGAGTACATCAAACAAGATGGCGGGAGCTGTTCCAGCAGCCGCCAGAATCCTCAAAAGGCGGCAGAGAGTCACACAGAAGACATAGAGGCGGATCACAGTCGCACGTCCGAACCTCAAACGGATCGTCCACAACGCTGGTCACCGCTTCGCCGACGTTTGGATCGAATTCTATCCTTGTTTCTTCCCTCTCATCCCAGACGGAACAGGGTTGACCTGTCCTATACCAATGTCCTCCACTGGCAGATGAGCAGCCGGAACGTGGGCGAACAAGCTACCACGACATTCAGAAGCTCAACCTTTCTACGCAAACTTCTCCTCGATTACCTTCAGAATATCGCCCCCCTTTTGCATGGTGCTCAGGACGACGAGAAGCTCTTGTCTGCTTTAGGAACTACTTTTCCTCATGAATCCTTGAGAACTCTGGAGAATCTCGGCTACGACATTACTGATATCGCAACTTGGGCGTGGATTTTCTCGTCGGACAACGTTGACCTTGCCTTTACGAAGTACCTTATCCTGGCGCAAAAAGTACGTGAATCTGGACAAGGTCGGATACCGAAGTTCGTGTTCTTACAACTCCTTCGCGCGGAAAATATCAGTCCTTTTGCCCTGAAGGGATTCATAAAAAGTATTTTAGCCGATTTACAAATCTGTTTGGAAGCCAAGGAGTATCTTGGCTGGTCTTGGGTTACAAGAGTGTGCCTAGTTGTTCGGTTACTGCGACATGCTCGGTCAGTGGCACCCGAGTGCTTCGAGGATATCAGTGTTGTCATCAAGCACCTTTTCTCGGACTACTACAGTGTTCATCCTCGTTCACTCGAGGGTCCGGAGTTGTTGCGCCTTTCCCACATCTACAATCGCTTCTTATCATTAATATCTCTGGCTCCTTACAAAACACCCTACAATGCATATCTTTCACAGCAAAATGCGCAACTCTCACTCGTCCGTCAAATGTTCGAGTTCTCCCCACAGCTGCTACTGACGCGTGAGGGCTATCGCGCTTTGATTGCAGTCCAACTACTGCATCCCAAAACGGGGCAGGAACGTTCCTGGGCTGAGGCCAAGTCTCTATCTTGGCCCCCTTGGCGTCATATCAAGTCAGGAATTGAACAGGATCTCGAATATCCTGGGAAGGAGAGCCGTGTTATCAAACTATTGCAACGAATGAAGACAGCAGGGTACTCTCATGGCGACTGGGAAAGGAGCGCTGCTGTTCTAGCAGGGTGGGATACGGACAGAAGCCCTACTATTCAAACTCGCGCCATACTGATGCGCCAACGACGGCCGTGGCTTCTGTTACAGGGCTTTGGGAAGCAGGAAGAAAGTGAAACCAGCGACCCACCGGAACTTTGGGCGGCGCGCATTCGAGCCACAAGAACAAAGCGAGAGGCATGGGCATCCTTTTGTTCCTACGAGAAATCCAAACCCGCCTCCCAAACACACTATCAACCATATTTTGCGATGCTGGAGAAACTCCTCAATTCAAGTATTCAGCCAGATTCTACGCTAGGCTGGAAATACCTCGCAGGTGATGTCAAAGAACCATTTGAAGTCTCGGAAAATCCCCGAGAGGTCATTTATGTTGAGACTGAGGTTCCCTCGGTGGATGAATTCTATGAGCACATGCTGCGGGCCGGGGTCAAACCAGCTGGTCATCTTCTTGCGAGCCTTTTGAACCACTCTGTGAAGCTTGAAACTGGATTTGGGTACGTTCAAGCTAGCCGATGGGATGAAGTCACAAAAGACGTGCTCCGCCACGCAGAGAAATACCCAGCTTCCGTTATTCGGGACAGTTTGAACAAAATCCCCAGGTCCACTTTGGCTGCCTTCATTGCGCTTATGTGCAAGAGCGGACCCAATGATTCACTAGTATTTCGTGACATTGGAAGGATGGACTTTGCTATGGACCAATTAGTCAAGAGAAATCATCAAGATGTGCCTGCTTTGACATACGCGTCGCAACTGCTGTTCGCTGCAGGCATCACAGACATGCGCGTCTGGAACGCCTTTGTAGAAGGGGCTTCGGTGAGCATCGGAAAATCACCGGCAAATTACAAAGGTGCCGCAGCTAGAGCAGCTGTGTGGCGCCGCTTGAGAAGGATTCTTTCCCCTGAGGAGAAGAGTCTTGACATCCATCCTGACCTCGACACCTTCCGCCATTTGACAAAGACGCTGAACATGATGTTGAGGGACGTGAACATGCGCATCCCACCACAAAATCTTGGCTCCCTTTCAAAGTCGACGTTCGCTCGAGCAATCTATGGTCGCATGACAGCCTTTCTTCCTGGGCGTGAACGTACGCTCCTTGTCGTACCTGACTTGGAGGATCTCAAACTCATGATCAGCATCCTAGTGTCTGTTCATGACATCCGTGGCTTGCTTGTGCTTTTGAGATGGGTCAATGAGCATGCCATGGTGTTTGGGACAGAGAACATTGCCTCCGAATCCGAGTCTCAGAACACAGCGCACCTAAACCCGTCTCCGCTCCGTGATGTACTCTGTGCCATCAGACTCTTCCTCGAGGGTAGCTTATTGAGTCTTGCCAATTCTTCATGCGGAGGAGATGGTGGCATGAGGTTTGAGAGTCCTTTGCCAAGTGATGGCCGTGATGTCTGGGAAGCACGGGAGCACTGTCGCGAGCTGGGCTGGCCGACAGACGACGAGGTCAGGGATTTTCTTGCTCGCGAAGTGAAGTGGGTGGAGAGAGTCCGGCGCAATGCGGAATTGACAGCTCGCCGGAAGGCTATGGCCAGTAGGAAAGCGCGGACCATGCAAAGAGACGAGGTGGCTGTTGAGATGACTGTTGCATAAATAGAGCACCAAGACCGCGAAGAAAGTCCACCGAGTTTTGAGCAATGGCTACCAAATGATTGATAGCATGAATTGAAATTGAATTTAAGCTGGAGATTCTATCGGCCTCTGCTGGAGCCTATTTCCTCGAACTTGCACCTCTATCATGGACGCATGCCACATGTCTGGTTCCATGATCTCGAGGTGTTTTCATAAGCTAGTGTCATTTGTCATTTGTCATTTCCGAGCCCTCCTTGAAAGCCTTCCCCCCGCTATGCCAAGTATTTATTAAGTGGTATGTATAATCAAAAAGTGGCCTCCCTTCATTCCCCTGCTTGCTTGCCTGCTTGAGCCTTTCTCACAAGTCCCCACCGGCATAGTGAGATATACATTATCAACATCATTACCATCGAGTCCTGGTCTAGGAAAGACAAGCCGGGGTGTGCTGAGATTACGTGACGAGACGATAGAAACTCCGTCCGTGCCGAACGAATGTAAAGAGAAAGAAAAGGAAGAAAGGGGTGCCATCTCCTTTTGTGGAATCCCGGTTGTCCATCCACGTCTCTAGTCCGTACTTTGCGGCACTTCAAGTTGGGAAGTAAAAGGGCAACAGGGTAAAAACCCAGCTACAGAGACCCCATGAAACCCACTCACGCCATCGTAATCAATCCTTGAGAAGGATCTCTTTCCATGTAGATTAGCTCATGGCAAATTTGGATCTCGCACGCAGAGACGCGCCAAAGTACCAGAGCGCCCAGATGCCGATGACACCGCCGCAGAGCAGGCCGCCGAGCACGCTGATGCCTCGACCGATACCCAGATTGACGTACAGTGGGTGCGCGTAGATGATGCTCCCGGCAGCCAGAGCAGACCTGCATAGATCATTTGCTGCAAAGAGAGAGGCGGCATATTGTGGGTAGGTGAGTGGCAGGTACATGAAGATGCACTGGAAGAGTATGAAGGCGCCCACGGCGTAGAACGTGATGCCGATAATGGACACGATCCAGTGGATATGTGGCGTGGATGTCCAGCCGAACCAAAACATTCCTGCGGGCAAGAGCGTGGTGGCGAAAAGAGCTGGCACAAGACGGTGTTCTTGGGCACGAAGGCCGTTCTTCTTGATGTCGGGTTCGAGGTAGAAGTACACGTACGACACATAGATGAGAGTCCCGATGGCGCAGCCGACGACGATGCAGACAAAGACAACACCCAGTTCGCCAATGTTGAAGCCGTACATCCCGACATAGACAAGGGGGAAAGCCTCGAAGAAGGAGTAGTAAATCCCTGTTCCGAGCGCATTAGTCACAATGTGCATTCTGCATGTGGTTGGGCAGCAAAGTGTAAGGGAGGGACTCACCATATATCAGGCTCGTGTAGACATTCGTAAAGAAGACTGCGGGATCCTTCAAGAAGATCTCAATGGGCTTCCACATCTGCTCTATCGCGACCTTGGAGAATGACATGGTTCCTTGGTCGATCTCTCCTTGGCTCTTCAAGTTCGGATTGCCCGTCAGTTTTCGGAGACGTTGTGCGCGGCGCAAGAGGATGTTGTTGGCGGAGGTTTCGGGCATGGAGAGAAACATGAGGACAAAGATTGGGGACGACATCCAAAGGACTTCCCACAATGCCCAGCGCCAGCCTTCTACAACAACCGAAAAGCCCGACAAAAGGGGCCCCAGCGCAGGCGCACAAAATGCTGCAGCGACCCATGCCGTAAGAGCATAGGGAAGTTTCAAGAGGCCGTACATGTCGCCCATGGATGCGCCACCGGTAGCGAGACAAGGGCTCCCCATGAAACCGGTCAGGAATCGCAGCACGAGCAAAGATGCGTAGCTATTTGCTAGTGCGGTAGGCACGCAAAGGATCACAAAGAGGCCGAAGGAGATGATGTAGGGAATATTTCGCCCAATGGCCGGGAGCTCGGAGAGGGGGGAGAAGATCCTGAATCAAACCATGTGAGCATCGTGAACAACACACAGGCGTTGGAGGGGACATGCAGGATCAAACTTACATGGGGCCAAAGCCATACCCCAGGACATACATGCTCAGTCCCAAGCTTGCTTTACTCTGTCCCACGCCAAATTTTGCCATCACCTGAGGTTCAGCCGAGGTGTAGATAGCACTGGCAGAGTACACCGCGAAGGTATACATAAAGATGAGAAAGGAAACCCAGACTTTCTTCCAGCTTCCCCAATTCTGGGGGTTTGCTGGATCATCAGTGGTGTACCAGTCCACCAGGATGATGCCGTCCGCGGTTCGCTGAGGGGCGATAACGCTGCTTTGTCGACGCTCGATGGCCTCTTCTTGTTCAACTTCGAATCGTTCCCGAGAATATGGCAGTGTCTGTTCTCTGGTCCTCGTCCGCGTGGTAACAACTGTGAACTCTCCTCGAGCAGCGGAGTTGGCTGTTGGAATAGTACTCAGGTTTCGAGCTTCGATATCCTCACGATTTGTATGTGGCTGTTCGCGAGAAACAGGATGCGGACTGGTGGTATGGCTGGTGTGGCGACTGACATCCACATCTGGGGTAGACTCGATCTCCTTTTCTTTTTCATTCACAGTGGCCTGTTCCCATGGGATGGAGAAGCCGGGGTCTTGTTCTGGAAAAGCAAAGAATCTGCCTTTGGTTATCCAATTGATTGCTTGCCCCAAAGGTGCGTCTTGGATCGCATCCAGAATTGCTTTCGTCATGTTGATAGTTACGTCTCGTGAGGATTGATTTGGGCAACAAGGAAAGTCGAACCAGGGATGAAGACGAACGGATTGGAAAAGACCAGCAGCAGGTTCCCTTCTTATTGGGATGGTACAACTTCAGGCCTTCTTTTAGCGTTGCAGACCCCCATACTATACCTGTGCTTAATCATGCAGGGAACGATATTTGACCGACGTTGTGTAGCTTATGATGCGCCCGTAGGAAAAGTGGACATCTGGAGAGCCTGCAGCGCAACAGGGCTCTTGTATTGGGCAGGATGATTAGTCGAGCCAGGGTTGAAGCATTTCCACCATACAATACCGAATTGTCAGCAACTGAGACTCGAAGCATTGGCATCGCTGTTGGTTGTAGCGGCCCGACCACTACTGCCGTAAGGAGAAAAATGTAATCGTGGTAGAGGACCAGACGAGGCTGCTGTACCCAGTAGCTGAATCTAGTAGTAGTTGGCGCCCCTTGCGGAAGAAACCAGCCGAGCAAATGCGACAGAGATGGATGAGTCACCTCACACCATGATAAACCAATCTAGAACCCCACAGGCCCTTTGGTCGTTAGATTTCCTCGGACTGAGCGGATTGGTAGACCTGCAACCCTTGCCGCTTGAATAGGTATATGTCACATGCGATTTAGGGGAGAGGCGCATTTCAGTTACTGATCTTACATAACCGTGGTGCCGCGGTGGCCCAGTCGGGCGAATGGCGCGCCGGTCTCATCCACACCCGCCACGTTTGTTGGATATCCATATCTTCTTTGTCAGCGAGGCTCGTTTGCGACGTCAGAGTGTATCAGTGAGCTGTGTGCCTGATTGGCAGTCTATTCTGCGTCCCGGATTCGGGCATTTTGACAACTGGATCTTTTCTGTTCAGGCCTGGTACCTCAAGTTTGATGTTTAATCAACAACCAAGAAATTTCCAGCTCGGGTTTTGATGAGCCAAGGAGCACTGTAGTAATATTGGTCCGTCTCCAGTTGTTCATCTCGCAGCCGACTCCCACAGTGTGAAGTATTTTGGCTTGTCCTCTGTGAATAAATATGGTGGGATGAATCCGTTAGGCAAAGCCACCATTTCAATTTCAAGCCTCACACCGGCCTTTTGGAAAACGGGTTGCAGTTCTCTGCATTTTTCGACCATCAGACGCTGTGCGAGTACAACCTGGTTGATTTGTTCCTCCGTTTCTCCATCCTCGGACACGGTCAATCTAGGCTCGTCGTCTTCTCTGTAATATTCATATGAATATACCAAGTTACTGAGAAGTTGTACTCCATGCTTCGCTTTGTCGGTCACGATACATGTTTCGAAAGGAAACCAAACCCGTCGCCGAGCGTGAAACGGTGGTCGATCGCCCAATGGAATACCAAACACTTTGAGAGTCTCGAGGTTCGGCGGGAGTCTGCGCCACGTGGCGTGATCGCACACGGCTCGTACCCTGATCAGGTTGACTGTCCGCACATCGAGGTCAAGTTGCTTGAGAGCACGGAAGGCTGATAGATTGAGATGTTGGCCGGGGTGGCTGAATGGTTGATGAGATGGTCTCGAGTATCCCAGGCTCAAAGACAAGTGCTCAAGCGAGCGGGTACAGTGCTTGGCTATGGCATCCACAAAGGTCCCGGGTGATACGTTGCCGTGCATGCGACTGTTCCTAGTAAACATGCCGTCATAGCGAATGCCTTCACTAATCTTGAGCGATTTCAATGCTCGAGGGAAACTCAACAGAATTTCCAAGGTAGGCGAGAAAATATCGCATTCTTCGAGATGTAGGTGTTCGAGGTTCGTCGATCTGACGAGTGCCGGGTCACCCTGGAATTGTCGCAGCAGTTGGTCGGGAAAGTCGGTGCTCGCGCACGACATTGTCAACGAGCGCAGATTCGGGTGCAAGAAGAGCATTGCGTATTTGGTCATAGAATAGATCTCCTTTAGACCGTCAACGAAGTGTAAGGTGCCTAAAATAGTGATCAGCTGGAGGATGAACACGATCGGGTCCAGAATACCTACAGTTTCGCAGATTGGGTAGGGCCCGCTCCACACTGTTGGGTATTGCCGCCGAAGCTGCCTCGAAGATGCGCTCATACCGGTCCTGCAGATTGACCCAGCCTACTCTCTCCTCGGGGAATTTCGCATTGCAGTCGGGCGTCTCGAGACACAGGTCTTGGAGGTTTCGCATCATGAAAATATGAGTTGGCAATGTGCTCAGGCCATGATCCTCCCCAAACTTAGTGGAGACGAGCAGCGAGCGAATCCATGAGATGCGGCGGGGATTTGCATATAGACTGGCTGACAGGGCAGAGGCTTGACGACCACTGACCACCTCAATT